ACTTTAGTAACTCCCGGTAGTGCAGAGAGAGCCGATGGTGACTACCGCCTAGGACATTGCCTTGTAATGGTAATCGACGAAATACACTGCAAGTAGTCGGTCGGTAATTGACGGAGTTTATCACGTAGCTACAGATTCAGCAGTCCTGTAGTCGCTCCGCCGTACTGCAGGGAATATTGTTGTCCTACAACAAAAATGCAAAATTGCGCCAATTTTAAAAAACGATTAATTTTTACATGAAAAATTATGATGGAGTTTGTTCCTAAACTGTATTTGACAAGGGGTGACAGAAAATTTTTCCAAATATTGGGTCATATAAAAAGTCTTGTCGCAAATTTGTCACTACGTGGTATTGATGTCCATACTGACACGCGTTTGAAAGCTGACACACATTTTTACTAAAGATTTTTTATAATTCGTCGCTAGTGAAAAAAGTTTTATTGATTTGAAAATGAGTGAAATATATGAAGAAACTAGCGGTATCCCGGTGTGCTTCTCTACACCAAATATTGAAAAATGAATGAAATATCCTGGAATTTTTCTATTTGAAATTTTTTTTTTACTATATTGCAGCCATGTTTATACTTGATATTTATCCGAAGAAAAAATAAACACAGCACATCATAGCAACAATTTTTCACTATGGCTGCATTTGTTTATTCATTCTGAACGTTTGGAATAAACTTTTTTGTTTACTTATTCTTTAGAACGTTCCTGATGATATGTAAACGTATATTTCAATGGCATTCTGTTTATTCTGGTTGTGAAATGGGTTTATCCGGAATGTATAAAGAAACGCAGCCTAAGTTTTCGATTTTTTATGTATCTGCTGTTGTACCATATACGTGGTTCATGTAACAGACATAAACTGTTATAGATCATGAACCGCTGGACCGAATTCAGGCACACTTCACATAACCCATCTGCATATACCGTTTAAATTTGGTAGAATTCGTGCACTTATTTTTTTTATTTAAGATGGGAGGTGCCACGCTCCCTTTTCCAATACCGCTCATTTTTCTCCATGAGTATGGAATTATTTCATATGTCTCTATACCAATTTCCAATACTCTACCACAAATATTTCAAGAGATATACAATATAAAAATTTTAGTTAGTATGGGAGGTGCCACACCCCCTTTTACGAATTTGGGCAAACTTCATAAAAACCATCTGCATGATAGCTTGAATATGCTGTATAAATTTGGTTGAGTTCGGTGAAGCCGTTCTCAAGTTATAATCTCACACCAAAAACGTGTACTTACTTGTATACATAAGATACATATGCCACGCCCCCTTTTCCAAATTTGGGCAAACTCCACATAAAATATCAGAATGATGGCCCGAATATGCTATATAAATTTGGTTGAAGTCGGTGAAGCCGTTCTCAAGTTATAAGCTAACTCACTAATTTTTATATATAAAATAGAGGCGCCACGCCCCCTTTTCCGAATTCAAGCAAACGCCACATAAACCATCATAAACCGATTAGTCACCGGAAAGGATAAAATAATGGAACTGGTTGAGCAAGACCAGCATGCAAGCTATCAGAAGATAGTGGAGGCACTAAACAACAAACACATGACTGTTTTTTAAATATTCATAAATAACAGTACTCAAGGATAATTGGATCTGTTGACCATCAGTGAAATGCAGTGAAATCGAGCCATTTTTGAAGTGAATCCTTTTTCTTTTTGCTTGGCACTGTAACCGTCTAAGCCGAGTCCAACAATGTACGCCCGCCGTCTCTCTTCTGTGCCAACTAACGCCAATTGGAAATGCCTAGTTAAGCCAAGTCTTTCTCCACCTGCTCTTTTCAACACAGAGGAGGCCTTCTTCTTACGCTGTTGCCTGCATGGCGGCCTGCGTTGAATGCATTCAAAGCTGGAGCGTTTCTGTCCATTCGTTCGACGTGGCCGCTGTATTTTACTTCGTCTATATCGTTGAAAAGTACATATAGTACATCGTTCCATCGTCTGCTATATTTTCCATTGCCTACGCGCAAAGTTCCATAAATCTTTCCTCAGAATCTTTCTCTGGAAAACTCTAAGCAACGTAAGCGGTAATAGTCAAAGACCAATGTCCCTCTAAAATCGACTTCAAACCCTGGATTGGCAGCAGATGTTTGTTGGGATTGGAAGAAAAATGTCCTCTCCTGCGCAAAGCACCACCGCTTGAATGAAGCAATCAAGAAAGATCGACCAGAATAGGCCAACAGAAAATCGGTGGGATTCCATTATGGCAATGCCAAGCCACACACAATTTTAATGACTCGGAACAAATTGACAGAATCGTGGTTCGGAAGTTTTAATGCATCCGTCGCTTAGCCCGAACCTTGCGCCGCCTGACTTCCAGTTGGTTCGGTCACTTCAAAGCTCTCTTTATTGTAGAAAAATTGGCCGGCCGAAGAGCCGTTGAAAATCACTTGGCCAAGCTGTTCGCCGATAAACCAAAGAAGTGGTAGGATGATGGAATAATGAAGCAACCCGAAAAATGGAAAAGGTCATTTCATTGATACAACTTTCCTAAAAATCCGTGGAGACTTTTTATTTGACCCGCTTCGCCACCTGTTGGAAAAAGCTACCAACAAAGGAATTAATCCTCCAATTTAGCGTACATAGTCGAAATGTAAGTTTACTGGTCCACACTAATGCTCTATATAAACAATGCTCAACCATCGCAGGCTGCATAAATTTAATTGTAGACCCAAAGCATACACTTGTGCGCACACATCTGCATGTTTACTAATTTAAATTTACAATTGCTTGTCTTTCCATTCGAAAGTTAAAATTTCGTTGACACAGTTGAGCATAAATTAAAAAGCTTTTACAGCTAAATAAGAAAGTGAAATGTGCGCATGAATGTGGAGGTGTATGTTTAGGCCAGCAACAATAACAATGTCCTTCATCGATGCAGCACCAAACCCGAACAAAACAATAGCCAATGGAATGAAATATCTACTAACAACATATTCATCAGTGAACTCATCACTGTCATCATTATCATTCAGCAATTTCCTATTTCCCCTACCGAAGCAACTAACAACGAGCACAATCTCTACCACAAGTCCAGGCTGATTCCTCCGCGGCATGCTGAACTTCTTTCTATCTTCTCCACAATATCACGCCCATTCATCAACACAACTTCGCATAAGTTTAATTTTCCTTTCAGTTTCGCTTTGGGTTTCATTGCGCCACGCTAAAAATTTGCTACTGTTTTGCCCTTTTGCCTAGCAAATTTTCGACAAAGTGAGCCTGTACTCACAATCTGTGCGTTTATTTTCGTGAATATCGGCTACAGGATATAAATATTGTTACATGAGTGTATGCATGTGTTTGCAAGTCCATCAACCAACAGCTTCAAGCGCAGCATCAACACGAACGAACTCTTTGACATGAGTTTGCATAAGTACATAAGTTGTCAAAACTTACAGCTATACGTTAGGGCTGGGAACTTCATCCGGATTTTTCTACTATCCGAATAAACCGAATATTCGAATATCCGGATACCTAAATGAAAAATCCGGTTACTCTGGCAGCTAAGATAATATTCGGCTATCCGAATATCCGGATTTTTCGTTATCAAAACGAAATACCTGGCGCTCATAAATGTGTAGTAACAAGTTTTCTATTTCTACGCACAAAGTTGTTTATATAAATTTTAAAATTTCCAAAATTCTACTTTGTAATTTCAAAGGCTTCTATAAACCAAATTAAAAAGTTCAACAAACAAATATATGCTTATAGAAAACTTGCTACTTCATATGCATGAGCGCCTGGTATTGGGAAATTAAAGTATCGCTTCGTAAAAATAAAAAATAAAATAAAATTGACTGCGAGAGTTTTTTCATGGCTTTAAAATATCATGGACGGAATAATGAAAGCTTTTACGATACTTTTGGTCGTGGTGAATTTTTTACCAAATTGTAGCATTTCTAAATTTGATGACAAGAATAGTGCCATTTGTTTATATTGTTACAAAACGTCAACTTCAAGTCCGTCAAGAGCTAATTCACTCTATCGTGTGCATAATTGAATTCACGAATATTATTAATCAGTTTGTTGATTTTTTTTTGGATATCTGAAAATAAGAATATTAACCGGATCTTCGTAAATCCGGATATCCGAATACTTGCACAAGCGAATATTAACCGGATATCCATACTATCCGGATTTTATTCGTGCCAACGGATAATCCGCATGGATATCCGGATATTTAAATGTGCGGATAGTCCCAGCCCTACTGTACGTACGACAGTCCCTCCTGCGATGCTGTACCACTCCTCATTTGTTCCAAGAGCGACATATCGTATCGCAAAATATTAAGCCAAGTTGTATTACGAACTACTTACATACTCAAATAAACCACTTGTGAATTTTTTAAATTTTTTACAAGTTTTTTAATGGAAAATATTTTTGAAATTTACTACAAAAATGCAATTAAAACTTAATTTCGTGCTGATTGGCAGCAATTACACATATAGATTCACCTATATTTTGGCATGAGAAATTACCTAAGGATTTGCTCCCCAACAGGAAAATTTATTTTTCGATCGATTCTAGTTCTGGAATATTTTAATAATATTTAGCGTACATTGCATATTTATGTTACTCATATTTGTTACATACATACATACATACATACATATGTATGTAAAATCAATATTTTCAACAGAGAAATCTACTAAAAAGTTAATTTCTTTTGCAATTGACATATGAAAGTTATTGTCGCAATTGAATAATGTCTTTATAAGCCCAAAAATTGCATAACTTTCACACACTCGAAATTTTATTGCCTTCATTGCAAAGCAGCTTTGCTCCTGCTTCCTCTTAATAAATTCCAGTGAATGAAAAAGATATGTTAACCCAAGAAGACAATTGAGAGTCAAGTTCAGCTCGAATTTCTTACACCCACCAATTTAATTGAGGAGAAAAGTTTTTCTATAAATTTATTCCTGTCAACCCTGGTTAGATTATTTTTAAGAGTAAATAAAAGACACTATGTCACAGAGTATAAGGAATAAAAAATCCAATTAATTTTTATATACAACAAAGCTATGTAAACAAAATAAATATTTTGCCACCATTGAACCATTGAATGATACTAGGAAATGTGTATATGTATGTACATATTTATTTTTACATACCCAGTTGGAAATCTAGGTTTATAAAGATTTTTGCTTGATGGCCTTTCATCACGACTTTACCAAAAACTTACACCATAGAAACAATATGAAGCGCAACTACAAGTTTGAAATCGGTACAGTTGACGTAAATCTTTTTATTTTTTTCCGAAATATTTTGGCGAAAGTTTTAAAATCTAACAAATTGTATAATTCCAATGGAAAAACAGGACGGATTTTTTTTCTTTTTTTGTTTGTATGTAGAGTGATGGATCTCATGTGCATATAACCTAGCTGCCCTTTTGATATTAGAAAATATATAGTATGGCTGATTAAAAGGCTTCCCAGCTTATAGAGCGTATTTGCCTAGAAATGACTGGACAGACGTTTGTTTGAGCAAGTAGCGCAATCACTCATACATCTGTTCAGTTATTTAACTAAAAAATAAACCTCCCAGAAGTATGCAACATCAGAAATGCATTCCATTTTTATATAGTTCGTTTAGAAAAGCTTGTAATTCTCAGTCGGCGTAGGAAATATCTTAATACATTTATGACGGAGACAGAGTCTCATATTGGTACTCAGCCTGGGGCCTGCCATACCTTATCTCCAGATCTTTTTTGGTACTAGGCTCGAGAGTTGCTATTGACTGTCAAGGGGAAGTAGATTGCTCCTGATTAGCGTAGCTCCGTCAATCGAAGTCATCGCTTCTTTACGGCTTCTCTACAAAATTACTATTTTGGGTTCATAGGTTGCTATTTATCAAAAAAAGACTTCCAACAGGGATGCTCATATGCTATGAATTTGCATTTAAATAACAGCATTTTAGTACACATATCAATTCTTTAACTTTCGTAGTCTATCCCTTACTCTCCACACACCAAATTTTACTTTATTGTCGTATTTTTCACTTCGTTACTTCCACACTATGAATATTTCCTCTTTACGCAAAATTTATTTATAGCAAAATTTTATTATTGTTTGTTGTTGCTACCGCTTCTGCTCTATTCACTTCGTTTTCTTACATAGTCAGTGAAATGGAGCCGGATACCAAGCATTTGTTCCTCAGCTACAAATGCACGACGCTCCCTTGCAGCTCAACTACTTAGCTGGTCATTCACGTCCAATACCACTGCTTTATAAGTATGTATGTATGTATGTATGTATGTAGGTAGCTTAACTGCCATTCATGCGACCAACAGAGCAAAAACAAGTGAACATTGGAGACATTTCCTTTTCAAATTTATTTAATTTTCTTTAATAGTAAATCCGTGTTTATGTCTCTTTCAACTAAAGAAATCTTTTAATTCCTTTCGCAATGCAGTTTAGGGGTGGACAAATGAATTTTAGCTCAACATAGCGGTATGTAGGAGTATGAAAAATGCGTGCACACAAACATGTGTATGATACAGATAAAATTATACATATGTACATATGCGTGAGTGTTTGTATGCGGAAACTGTGTGGAAAGTCGGTGAAACACTTTTGACACAGCAAAGTCACCGATATTAAGGTTAATATATGGCTTTCTGACTATGTCAACTAGTTGAGGAAGGTAGCCAGCCATGGTACATTCAAATAATTCTATATAGTCACTTATTTAATTAAACTCACACACTACATCCACTCTTGCTATGGCTTTGGCTCACACGCATTTGTCGTCAGTATTTCATTTACAATTGAACGCCGGAAGTTGCCGCTTGGAGTTTTGGCGTTCTTCCTATCGCTTTGGTTCGAAGAGCTTGGTTAACGTATCAAAATATTCACACATCTATAATGTATGTAGAGCTGTGGTCAAAATAATAGCACAAAAATTCAAAATGGTATTGTTTGCAACTGATGTTTTGTTTAATTATTTTTAATAATTTTTAATTAAAATATAATTCGACGTATAATAGCAACCACATAAGTTACACAAAGTTCACAAAACTTAATCAAGTTTCAAAAAAATGCTTCAAAATTTTAGACTTTGTATATAGAATTTTAAGAAAATTTTTAAGTATGCAATTTTACAGCC